TTCATAGAGTTAAGAGACATTCAAAAATCGAGGTGCGACCGCTGTCATGGAAGACAAGACTGTGCTTCAGTGGGGCGGATGGGCATTGCGTAGATCTGTTGTATGTGCGGTTTACAAAGTGTGGGGCGCACTTAAAGCCATTCCGGTTATATTCTGGGATGCTTATATAGTCAAACTTAATTCATTATAATTCTAATTATAATGCTGTTTAATTTCGTGTATTTGTAAAACCTTGATACACGTTATTTATTCAAATTGTCACGTGTCCGGGATTCCGTGACAAATAATTAATGAATTACGAATTTGGGGAAGCGGTTTACTGTTGAATTACGCCAGGCGGAACTACAGACAATTATAACACTTCCTAACTACAAACAATGATCATACTAATGTTCACTGTGACTACGCCACACTAAGACTTCTGTCGGCTCTCCGCGTGCTTCTGTTTTGAACTTGTCGGTCTGATCTCCGATCTGTCATCTCCCTGAGGTAGGTTCTTGGCGTACAGAATGGCAGACACCGCCCCGAACAGCTTAGTATTTCATTTCCGTGGTAACCTCCTGCCTATGTCCGGAGACAGGGACTAGCTCTATCTATTGGACCCAACTGAGTAGGTTTTACCTGAGGACGGGGACAGAATCCAGTCTCCGAAACGTTGCGTTTTGAAAAATAAACAGGACGGTTTTTAGAAAACAGACAAGACGATGGATAATGTCCAAAAACATAATACTTGTAGCAATAGACCATCGCCACAAACTTTTAGATATTATCGGAATAATGTAGCTAGAACGGAAGTCCATTGCTGGCCAACAGCACGCCAAACACATATTCCCGCTACAACGAATAGATATTGAATAATCCATTGCTGGGCAACGGTTTGGTAAGCACGTTTCGCATCAACGAAGATTCAACAGGGGTTTCCACGGATACGGACAAGCGACCAAATCAATTTTCATGGTTGCCGCTAGACTATAAAGACGGCCATGCAGAGGTGAACGACTGAATCTCGTGTGGAGGCGGGGTCGAATACCTCCACCGTAGCCCTGCGAGTCGTAGGAGGCGACGAAAAGGGAAGCCTCGAATCTGAGACAGTAAAATATGGTCGCGAGTCCCACGGGATTCGGACCCAAGAATGACTGCGTTGGCGAAGGCCAGCAACAATTATAAACGACAGACCCGTCCTCTCGTCAGAGAGAACGCCCCACATCAACAAACCCTCAACTGTCGGACAGTAATAAAAATATGGTCGTGAGCCCCAGTTTGGTGCTTCATTCCAAGGCAGACTGACCGACTGACCGTCGGTCGTAACATGCGACTCAGACTCAGAACGACTGATTCGTACGACAGTCGTCGTTCAAAGCAGTCGCAGTAGAAGACGTGACAGCTCCGCAAATCAGAACCAAGTCAGTCACAGTGGAAGAGAAGACACTCGTAGTCCAGTAAGGAATGGAGCGAGTCTTAAGGTAGCTATTGATCGTGAGCTGTTATAGTTAATGGTAGTTGCAGTAGAAGTGCCAGTAAATCCAATCATCCAATCGAGAACCTGTTAATATTAACATACATTGTCGTACGTGACAATATTAAAAAAACGTGTTGGTTCTAAAACTAAGAACGCTGTTTAAGATTTGAGGCTTTCATGGCGGTGACTATGAAGAATGCCGACTTCTGGGATGTGGCGCCGTGTAGATCTTGTGTGAACTGACCTTTGTCTGGACGCAAATGAGGCACTCACGAGACAACGCGTTGATATCCCAACAAAACCTTGCAGCAACAATGGCGGAAGCTTCTGCAGCAAGGTTTTGGCATGCGGCATGCAGCTCCCCACTGTTTCACTGTACTGCACTGAACTTCATGCGGATATCATGGGGGCCATCTTGGGCTTCGGGGCGCTGCCTGAGAACTTCCTTTAAGGCCTAGCGCACACATGCAAGTTTTAGTTGGCCGATAGTTGTGCACGATCGTGGAGGCCCATCGACTGTCGAGAGACGTGCGCACACATACAATGTCGAGTTGTCCACAACTACGTCAATGGGCAGTCGGTCGGTCGCAGCATGGATGTGTACGGTACAGCAGTAGTGTGTGCATTATTAAGATTGAGGAAAAAATGAACCGGGAATATTGGGTTCACCCTATTTATAGCGAACGTCTGTTAGAAGGAAAATTTTACACATTGTACCATGAGCTGAGACAATACCCATCAACATTTTTTAATTATTGCAGAATGAGTGTTGATAGTTTTGTTGAATTGTTGCTTCTTCTGAAACCTCATATCTTGTACAAGAATAAAAGATGGAGATTGGAGTTTAATATTTCTAGAATTATTGCAAACACAGAAAAAGTAAAAAGGTAAAGTAAAGGTATTCCTGTAGCCGGTCACGTAGCCGAGAGGTCTAAGACATGCACTGTGTTCGCTCGCATGGAAACCGGGATCGTGGGTTCGAATCCCACTCAGGGCATGAATGTTTAGTTTGTGTGTGTGCGTTTTTGTGTTTGTGTACAGGTGGCGGCCTTGCGGCGAGCTGATCACCCGCCCAAGGGGTCCTACCGAATGTGTAAAATCTAGAAAAACGGAAATGAACGGAGAAGTTCATGGAGGTAGGCCTAGGCCCACTGGGGCTGTAGTGCCAAGAAAGAAAAAAAAAATCAGTAACCAACAGTGGCCGGAAAAGCAACTACTGATGTCGTTTCCAAGGTAACAAGGCCAAGTTCCATCGTACACAGGTGTGAGGAAGCATGCGCAGTGTGTTCTGCGCCGCTTATTAAACACAAGATTTTCGTAGCCTCTTTGTAGACCATTAAAGTGCGCAGTTCTTTTGGTGACTATGCATATAGGAGGCTACTTCACCTCCCTACCTCTTGATTCCCTCTCCTTCAGAATACTTACCAACACACGAGTCTTGCGAACTGCTGAGGTGGCAGCGACATCAGTGCTACAAACTCCTATATGGCTGTGAAATTTCGAGCGAGTAAAAAAGTACTTGTCCCTGTGCTTGATTAAGCATTACTCCAAAAGACGTGTGTGGGAGTTGGCGCATAGATCCACGTATTCTTCACCTCGACACTAGTTGGAGGTGAATAGTCAACTTCACGCCTTCAGCCACTTTCCCCCGGGGAAAGAGTCCCAGGTCCCCATTTGATAGGAGGTTGGGCGGGCCCGAGAACCGGTCTGGACGACGTGGAGAAAATTCTTGACCCTATCAGAACTCGAACTGCGTGCAAACCCCCGGCCGTCCAGCCCGTAGCCATTCGCTATACCGACTGAGCTATCGCGGCTCCTTACACCAAAAAAAGTCATGGGACATTTTCAAAAGATGGACGTAAAGACAGCTATCTCTCTACTTCATTTAGAACCATGGCATGAAAACGTATGGCGGAGTGGAGGTAAAGATTTGCGTATGTTTAACTCCGGCACTAGGCGGAGATGAGTGGTCACTTAAAGGGTCCGACCGGCTTATCCTGGGGAAAAGAACCTCCGGTACACTTTGAAAAGGAGGTTTGGTGGATCTCTGAGCCGGTCTGAACACTGTGAAGAAGAGAAAGCTTTTTTGCCCCTCACGGGAATCGAACCCACGAACGAGGGATCAGTTTTGTTTCAAGGCGTCCTGTCAACTCTGCGCGTTTTGATATTGTTATGCTGTTGATATGTGCAGTATTTTATATAATGAGACTATCTACGATATACTATTTTTGCTTGTCATTCGTGGGAGATGGCGTTCAACGTCGGCTTAAACGTATCGTTCGATAACAGGTAGGAATCGAAAAGGAATACTGGAGAAGGCTTAAGCATATGATAAAGACTTTCTTCCTAGTTTCTATATAATTAAATATTTTCATTATTACCTTTTACATATTTTACAGTACAATACTAAACGTATCGTGGTGTTTGCGGCGTATAACAAGTAAGATATGAAGTACACTCTGTACAAATTACTGTGGTCCCATTTTGTTTAGTAACATGCATACTTTACACACTCTCAGGCATTCTTTACATACGCATACGAGATGCCTAGTCCCTTGACAAGACATTCACACGCACAACACTGAACACAAAGGCACAACGGACAGTCAGAAACAGATACAATATGATCATATGGTGGCAATCCGAATCAAAATTATGTCGGGAGTCGGTTCTTGTTTCCATTAGTCCAGACTGTCCACCACTAGGCACTTACACAGATATGTCTTATCTCGTCCATTAACATTTTAAGCTGTTCGGCAGTGATAAGACTGACATGGGCCCTTCGGAATATCGTCACAGTGAAATTCCTTCAAGCCGCCTGACGTGTCTGGTGCTAGGATCCAACGAGTCCGCAGCACGAATCCTTCATAGCAGTGCTCATCATCCTCGGGGGGCATGAAGGAGACAATTTTTACGACAAATTCAGCTGAAATAATTCTTGTTTTGTCTGCATTTGATCATCTCGTCCGGATGTGCCCGTCAAAATTGTCAATCCAAATAAAGGGCCCCGTGTAGTATTGTCATTTTAAACTTCTGAATATCTAAATCACAATTTGGGTTTGGTAGTAATTACGAGTTGGTTGATCGTAAACAGTGATATGAACCAGAATGCAAAGGATTATATTTATTTCAGCAGAATGGTAGAGGGGGCATGACGGTTTGGCGAAACCCAAACTGGGGGCATCCACTGATTTGGAGGATGAAAAGGGGAGGGATTTGGATGGATTAGCAGAAGAGATGCGAAAGGGGAAAGTCATGGAGAAGTGACAAACATTAATGTGACGGGAGAGAACGTATCCTTTTGTTAATCTTTCCCCAGGCTCCGCCCGCTCGTCCTGATATCTGCAGTTCAAACTGAAGGCGTCAGAACGATTATAGCTAGAAGCTTGAGGACGGGCCGCGGTATTTTTATTTTCTGAACTGAATAAGTTCAAAGGGCAAAGCTATCCCTGTACAGGCTTTCGAGGGTCCCACATTTTCTGGACAATCGGCTCACAGATGACAGTGAGTTTGTCAGCCTTACACACCGGCAGCCCTTGAGCCCTAGGAAGATTCCTAGTGCTCATTTCTGTTAGAGGCTGGGTCGACTCCATGGCCATGGTGCGGCTGGAGGGATAAAGTCAACTGAAGAATTTGATGACTTCATCGGGAATCGAACCCTTGACCTTTCCGGCTTCTCTACTGCAACACTCTTGCTGTAGAGGATAAAATCCGTATCCTCATAAATAAGTTGTATTCCTTCAGGTTTCTGTAACCTTGTTATTATTTTTGTTTCTAATTAACTTTCCATTCCTAAGTGGCCGATAACGTCCAAATTAATAATATGCTTTTATGTTTACCGAATGCGGCGCGTGCTTCAAGAGCTGAAGGACATGACAAACAGGCGAGTGTTGTGTCCTTCTGCACACATATAGAGGTAACGTTACGCAACTTGGAGTTACCATCGGGGCGAATTCTCTAGTGTTAACACGTTGCATGTACGTAAGTTATGTAAAACGTCAAGAACGACAAATGAGTCTTCTATTTTAGTCTATCGTGTCTATTCTGAGAGTATTGATGATATTTGTATGCCGATACGTGAAGTATACTATGAAAAGGATACGATTTACGATTGACTATTTATGCGTATTGTTCGTGGGAGGTGGCCTTTAACGTCGGTCTCGAAGTTATCTTTCGATAATGCATATGATTGGAAAAGGAATACGGGAGAAATGAGAGAAAGTCAGTAATACAAACGCTCATGTAACAAATTATGAGAGTTCTCGTTCGATTCTCATCGGGTTATTACACTAAGTTTCTTGCATAAAGAACTGTCATAAACTCTTCATGGCCTTTATCCATTTAAGCGTTCAAGTTCACATCCTGCGTAGTTACAGCGAGCACAGAATAATAACTTCAGGCTTGTTTCACGCAGCGCTGGCCTCGCGTGTCGGATCTCCGTGACAAGCAGCCGCGCGGTCGTCTCCGACTAATCAGCTGCTAAGATGAAAGTGTAGGTGATCCTTCAATGTTCCGCGTTCACACTGCTTCCGGTTTGTCACGGATAACTGACAGGGGCACAGGGGTGGGGTGAGAAGTGCCCGTTCCAGCAAGCGGGAGGTCTCGGGTCGTTGCAGTTTCAACTTCACTTAGGAGTCTAGTTTCAAGTACAGCCAAATAGCTTACTCAGCCGTCAGCACTCTGTTTTCTTGTAAATCAAACCAGTTTTAAAACATTGTTCCTCATCTATCACAATAATTTCTTGTTCTAGTTTATATTTAGGTGCAACATATATATATAACCGTGCAAGGGAACTGATAATGATGCACGATCAGGTCCTGTATTATCAGCTTGATAAAGAAAGTGAGTACTTACATATTTGCTGGCGGTCCGTTCGCCATGTTGTCCGCCATTTTGACCACCATATTAGCGCTGCCAACCTTACAAGCTTATTTGTAAAATCTAAACATGAAGCCTGAATTTTTTAAGGTTTAAGGGTTTCTTAAGAAACGTATTCTTTACAAACAAGACAAAAACCCTAAAATATTAAAAATAGAAATAAAAGTATAGCCTTTTAAAAATAAAACCAAAATTCTAACCGTGTCGATTAGCGGGAAGAAAATTCTGAAGTTAGTAGATTTTAAGTCTCGTTTCTACACGTAAACCAACATGGCGGATAACATGACGTTGAATCTTGAAATTACTTAATTCACCGGCAAATAAGTAACTACAGAAAAATATTTTGTGTTAGACAGTATAATAGGTAAGTAGGCATTACAAACACTTTTAAGTATGTAAGATCCGGGGTGAAATTTTGAACACACAAATGCTGTAGATGAGGAAATACATCTGTTCTTAAAAGCCTGAATACCCTTGGATACCAGAAGTTTTACAAAATTTCACATTCTTGAAACATACTCTTTGTAGGAATTCATCAATGGTGTAATTAAGTCGATATATATATATAAACAACTGAGAAACTGGCTTCTAAACAAAACAATGTATTTTCTGTGAAGAAGAGACTCGAACCCAGAAGTCTTGTAAACCCGTTACTATTAGCTAATTTTATGAGATCGACCCCATTTTTGTGGGTCAGTAGAGTAATTCATAGGTTTACTTCATGTAGGGCTCAGCTGGAACAATACACACAGCCCATTTCTAAATGGTGAAACCCTTCATACGTATGCACCAAAATTAAATTAAGGAACATAAATGTGTCCCAATGATATCCGAATTTTACAATAGTCTGACGTAAGACACTTATAGCAACACACAGTTTTCCTTTATAATTCGTGAAATTTAATCTTTTGGAAAGAAATTAGAAATATGAGGATGTAGCCAATGAACTTCACTGTGTCCATGTATTGGGTTGAGGACCACTGCATCGCGCGCACAACAGTTTGTCGCACTGCCTCTATACCTGAGCTGTCTGGACTCCATTCTTGCGACGACGTAATAAATTAGATGTGTATAAGCTGGCTGTCGCTCACGACGACCTGCTCCACGCGAACAAATGCAGAATGGCCACCCCGATCACCAGCATGAAGTTCCTCGTCACTGTTCTGCTCCCACCGCTGACGTTTTCATTCTCGTCTCGAGGTATAGAATTCGTGTCGGCTGTTCGATCAATCGATCACAATTAGGGAACATTGTTCAAGTCACTCGACAACCTGCCCCCGCTCTGCCCACTCCCCGCGCTACCGCCACGTATTGTGCACTTCACAGCGTGTCTCAACTTACATTCTTTAAAAAGAAATCCCCGTGCCGTCCACTTGGGAACCCTTCCGTTCTGAAACCCAAAACGGCGTCTGATATGAAAATGTCTGTCTATTTATTTGAAAGCATCACTAGATTGTTTCTATAGTTAATTGTGTTTCTTACGACGTCGCGTCCGTTTACCTGGTGATGTGCGAAATTTGGTTGTTAGTTTTTTAATTCTTCGTTTTATTTACTTGCTAAAAATACCTGTAAAAAACTTTAGCAAGGTCCGGGTCAGACCTTGCCAAAACCGGTGATGATTAGGGTCAAAACTGAAAGGCGTGTGTCATGCGAATATACACTCAACATGCATAGCACACTACACACTTGTACAGTCCCGCGCATTTGAAAATGAACCAAGTACCACCTCTTTCATTCATTGGCCTAAATTATAATACTGAAGAATGAAAAAATAAAAGACTTGTACTTTTCTTTTAATGTCGTAATTAATTCATCTCTACTCAGTATTACTCCTTACAAATTTATTTCTTCAGATAAGAGACCAGCTTTCAGGTGAAAAACAAACAGCGGGCAGAATCACATTTGCATTTTTGCCTACCGTTGCTCTGCTACAAAAGTGTCTGCACGAAGTAACAAGAATTTCCTGAATATATTCCGCTCTAACAATTTCATAAACCGATAAATGAAATTTCAGAGCATAACAAATGCATTCATCATTAGCACGTCAACTCATTTTATGCGCCAGGGACTGTACAGTACAAGTAACTATGGTTGTCTGGATTCGAACACGCGTTCAGCACTAGATCTACATCAGGACTTTACTAATAATTCATGTTGCAGAGTGTGAAAAGTGAATGCACAGCTTCGGCGCCTTCATTTAATATGCTCAGAATATCCATATAATGTCTTATAGCGGTACGGGTAGTCCTGCCCACTTCGTGATATTCCTTGTAAACTCGCCAAAATTGTGTTTCACACTTAGTTTTAATAGTTCTCCATAGATGGCTACATTATAAAGCCATCTGTGGGTAACTGTTGAAACTAACTGTGAAACGCAAATTCAAGATGGCTTGCAACAAATTAAGGTTATGTCACGATATTTGGTAGGTTTACCTCATACACAGAACCAACCCCGGATCTAAGAGTCCAGCTAATCAACTGTATGCAAGATAGCTGGTCTGTTTCGTTCCTAATGAGCTAAATTTCAAACAACTGGATTGCTGATTTTAGGCTTTCACGATAGTTCATTGTTTATGGTTATTGTGCTCTAGGGTCTTTGCATCGTGTGGGTCTGGGCAGTGTTGCCGACATTTCGGTCGCACATACTGCTTCCATTTTCAGAGTTAGAGTAGGATGGGTGAATATTCACTGTTCGTCACTCAGCAGAAGAGCTGTGACCCAGTGAGGCGCCGGTTTTTTGCTACTGGGCGCACATAAAAGCACAAAGACATATGACTGTGTAACAGTGCAGTGCTTAGCGAACACACAATTCAGTTAATGACACAGTTCACTTGTTTACACAGAGATAAGGGTAGAGCTCCTGTCCTGGGTAACGGGCAGGTCAGTGGTCCACCATAACCACGGGAGAAGGGTGAGGTCTGTAACCGCCCCAGACCAATAGATCAGTGGGCAGGGGAAAGTTGCCAAACGGCCCTTTTAACGGCCACTGAATTAACCCTTAAAAGAACAGTCTGACAAATTTCTCCCTGTCCGCTGTCCATATTGCCCAGAAGTTGGTTATCAAACGACGCTGTCAGTATCGAGACCAGCAGTTCTGTTGGACCAATAACCTATATACCCACGAACACTCATCCATCTTACTCACTTCGATCCTGAAGACAGACACAACATGTACAGATGTACCTCCAAACGTTGTCAACAGTGACAAAATCCAGACGGAGCAAGAACCCCAAGAGCAATCAAATTCAAAGCCTAGATGATTTAGAAATAGGTAATTTAAGTTTATTGATGATGATATTACGCTCTTTTGTGTACCAAATTTTGGATTGCAATGAAGACATGCATTTTGTAATGTTGCGCCCAAATTTCAACAGTGGACTTTGTAACAATGCCTCTACAATCCGACAACACTCTTACTGTTTGAAGATTTGAAGATCAACTAGAATCAGCAAATTTTAATTCAGTCGTAACCTCACTCATGCCTCATTTGTTGTTTGCGGAGCTGAACTCAGTCAGTGAGATTCCGTCCTGCATTCTGGACTTTATACGGAATATCCTGTGTGAGGAGACATCCGCCCCAGAGCTTCCTTCAAAATAAAAATAATTCCTACATGCCTGTACCGAAAGAAAAGCTGTTTATATATGTGAAATGGTAATTTTCTTTCCATAAATATTGTAAATAATGTCTGCGCATAAATTTTCTCATTTGCTAATTCATTCGCACTGTATGATTTTTTATTATATGTCAGATAATAGTTAGTCTTCATAATATGTTCCCTACGATAAAATAAGTTTTTACTTAAACGTGACAATACCAGGTGTCGGTCTGCAAGACTGCGACAGCGTGTTGCGTTCTTGCTCTTTGTTTAATGTGGTAACGGGTTAGGGGGACAGAAGCTTCACTAAATAGTATTACGCCCTCTGTTAATAGATGTTTAGATAAGTTAAAAATAATTTTCTATGATACCCATATAATAATACACATTAGATTGTTGTTATTGTTATTGATCTCAGTATTATTATGACATGTCAACGCATTGTCAGGCAACGGCTCGGTAAACACCCCACGATACGTGCACGCAACAACAGTACGAGTGTTTATAGCTCGTAACTAGGCAACAGTCAGCGCGCCAATAGATTGGCGACAGTCATGTGACTTGTTTTGTGTGCGGTCTGCGCTACGCAAGAATAGAACTGTTTCTGTGCGTGGTCCGTGCAAGACGATATGAGATAATAGAGGAATGGAATTTGACGTCACTTGAGTTCCGAAGTTCCAAGGGAACAGCTGTGTGGCCAGAAGAGGAATTAGAAGACTTAGTATGTGAAGTTACAGTAATCTTGAGAGTGTAAGAACTAATTGTAGTTACGACTAGTGAAGATCCAATAAACCGATTCACCAATCCAAACCTGCGTCATAGTCACTGTGACACGACATTATTGTTAATTTCTGGCGGTTTCTCAGAACTGTTTTAGTGTTTACGGTATTATTTTTAATTTTCTTATTTCTCTTATCTTTGTTGTGTGAGGTAGAAATAGTTATTTTTCCACTGTGCTACTACAGAAACTGGCCTTGTGCCCGTTGTCTCTATGCTTTTATTTGCCTCTGATGTAATTAATAATATCTACACTGTGCTGTGTCTGTAATTGGCCTTGTTGCTGTTCACTCGGCGCATAAGTAATAAAAGAACTGTACTGAATTGAATTACGTGTATTATTCAGAAAGATTCACCGTTTAATTAAACACTGGAAATGACGGACTGCTACCTTACACTTCAGAAACAGTTTGTGGCTCATGGGCAATAGCGTGAGGGACACAGCATAGAGAACACTTGCATGTGCTGCTCTTCAGTCACAATAAATGCGTTTAGTAATTTATCTAGCATTTTACGTCTAGGGTTGAGTGATTACCTGCAATATTTTTATATTAAAATATCTCCTAGGAAACAAAATGTTTATAATGGTATTTGTGGAATATAGGCCCGTTGCTATGCAACGATTCCGAAACAAACAACTAAACAGCGACCGTAGCTAGACAGTGGCCCGAAAATAACAACAGAGGAATAGTGTTTTCTGCGCGGTCCTCTAGGCAACAACTGAACTACAAGAATGAGCGGTGTTTTCTATGCGGTGCTTGATGTTATAAGTGGGAGGAGCTGGGAGCTGCAGTGCAGCCAGAACGGTAGAAGTTTGATGTGAGATGGCCGCCAGCCTGAGAATGGAGTGAATTGGTTGGTGAGTGAACTAGAGAACTGCTGTGGTTCAGTCCTTGTGAGATGTTGCTGTGAGAAGCTGCTAACTGGGGCACGGGGGATAGTTCAGGAACCCAGAGTAAGAGGAACGTCCGCGTTGGAAGGCGCTACCAAGCAACGGCTAGGAAGCTGAGAAGGCCTTAAGTGTGCTGTGGTTAGTGACTTTGGAGTGTGTAACTCAGTGAGACTGTCGTAGTTTTTATATTCTGTAAGTGTTCACTAAATTCGTTCATCAATCCAAAACCCGTCAATAGCCACCCATACATGCCCTGCATTGTGACCATTGGAATATAATGACTTACTGTGTTACAAATTGACAGCTTTTCATTTCGTACAGTAGTACAAGAATTTTCAGTAAGCTGACTGGAAGCTCAAGGTCTCTGATATCTCCTATGAAGGCACATCTCTCTATACAACTACTGAATGGGTGAGACACACAGAGTTAGTGCACTTGTGACGTTGCTATTCTAGTAGCAGCAGTAGCAGCAGCAACCAGGCGAACTGGGGCGAGCTGGCGAGGGGCATTCTCAAGAGAACACGATGACATTGTACATGAAATTCAATATGGCAGTGCTCACAACATATGTGCGTCAGTATTGTACTCGCATGCATGCTTACGGCACCCAACAGGAGAAGCACGCGCCACAATCCGATGAAATTGCTAAAGAAATTATCAAAGCATTCGAAATGTGCATATATGCATTTCAGTAAATTTCGCCGAACTTCTCACAGCCGTCACTACGAAGAGTTAAGTCTACTGGGTTGTAATGACGTGTAATTTGGAGAGATATCGACGTTTCGGAGGAACACACGGCCCTCGATCTTCAGGGTATAGAGTAAGTGAAGAACTGAGCCAGCAAAGCACACGCGGTAAGCTGATTTTACACGCGCGGTTCGCTCAGCTTGCCGTCTGCTTCGGCTTACTCTTCGATCCTGAAGATGGAGTCGATAGCTTCCTCCGAAATGTCG